AAACCATGATGAAGTTGTTTTGTAGAAATAAGTAATATAACTTAATTATTGTATTACAGCTGTTTTTACTACAATAATATTTTATAATTATGATTCAGTCTTAAAATAACTTTCTAATACCTCTGAATAGCCGCCATATTTAACAAAAACCTAAGACAGTTTTAAAGCTAAATCTACTGTCGGTTTTACTAGTATTTAAGACAAAACCAATGTAAATTAAAGATTTTAATCATTAGTAATATTAGCATAATCTTATTACTAAAAAAAATCAAATTGCATAAATTTAATTTTTGTTTCACACTGAAAAAGTATTAGAAATATGAATCAAACTCGAGGCGCTTAAAAATTTAGTATTGTATGTGCTATATAATTAACAGTAATTCTTGCTGCGCATCCAAAAACGACTTTATTGTAGGTCATACATTATGTTTAAACCGCGTTATAGATATCTCTTAAGTAGATACTGCCATTTTACTAATATCGCCTTGAATTTACTTTTATGACAAATATAGAATTAATTTGTTTTCACCAGACACATTTAAAAAACTAAAATGTTACTGATTTTGATATGCAACCTAACCTCAAAATTAAAAATTTATAAAACAGTTATAAAAGTTTAAAAAAACATTTGTTTAAAGTCTGTGTAAATGTGTAGTAACTGTTCGGTAACTGCATTCAACAAATCTTATAGAATTTACAAAAGAACCAAATAGTTCTGTAATACTGCGCCCATTTTGTTTTTATTACTGTTGAAAGAATGTTCCGGAAATGTTCTTAGCTAATATTCTATTTTATAAATTTTGTTCTGTAAACATTTTTTCAGCTTTTATAAAATATCAAATTGTTACTTGGGTTGTGCCGATTCTGTCAAGAAGAAGAGGAAACGGCAGAACACGTATTGTGCTACTGCGAAGGTCTAGTAAGACTGAGATTCCTTACACTTGGAGAAGAAAAACCAAGGGCAACTAGCTATACCGGAGAACTACTTTCCAGTCTATGGAGTTTACTACAAAAGACCGCATTAGACAAGGTACTCTAAACAATGATTAAAGGATATCCACAATAGATCTGAAAAGGTCGAGGTGGGGGAGGCCACATGGCCCATAGTCCTAATTAAATCTAATCTAATCTAAGTGTAGTTATTATTATCATCAATATCATACTGTTTGTACAACTATTAATGAATATTTTAGTTATTGTAATATTTGTTTTGTTTTCATTTATAAACATTATTAGTTATAGTCAGCTGACGTTTCTTCATATTTTAAGATTATTTTTAAATATACATCAGGTTAGGTACAAAGCATGACATTGATTTTTGTGTAAAAAATATCATATGAAACTTTACCTACCGTTTTTCGGTTTTTGTTGTAACAAGGCCTGTCTGTAGGGGTGTAGGAGTATTAGAGTACTAATACTCCTGCACTATGGAGTACTAGACTACTAGTACAATCCATAACCTACATAGAACATTAGGCTAATGACCTTAGATGTTGAAGCCGTACACCAAAGAAAAAAAAAATCGTTTTCACAATTTGTCACACATGTCAAATAAAATAATATATTTTTTAAATACCCTTTGTTAACAAATAAACCAATTTAACTAAAATGTTTATTTTATAAGATCAGTCCCATCACAACACATAACATTACCCAGATACAAAGTAGAATGAAGATATATAATGCGTGGCATTCTAAATTATACTCTTCACAGTTTAACAAACCCCCCTTAACTCCCATTTTCAATCGGATTTTTTTCAGAATCAATAGGCTTCATCCTCTTATTGAGCTTGATTTTTTTTCAAAAATTTCAAGTTGATAATGTTCGTTTTTGAGTTAGATTTTTTTTAAATATTTCAACCTCCCTTAACCCCCCCACTTTTATTCAATTTTTTTTCACAATCACTAGGCCTCATCAGCTTGATTTTTACTAAAAATTTCAAGTTGATTTCACGTTTCATTTTTGATTAATGATTTTTTTTTTAATTTAAATCCCCATTTTAATCAGATGATTTTTTTCAATATCAAAGGGCTTCTACTCCTTATAGAGCTTGATTTTTGCTAAAAATTTCATGTTGATATCCCTTTTTGTTTTTCGTTTTTAATTTAGGATTTTTTTAAATATCAACTCATATTAACCCTATATTTTTAATCAGATTTTTTTCAAAATGAATAGGCTTTGTCCCCTTATAGAGCTTGTTTATATCATTTTTCGTTTATGACTTATCGTGCAGATAAAAACGTGACATGGGACAAAGTAAGCCTATAATACTCTTCACAGATTACTGTGTGAAAAGTATAATAATAATCAAGGCTAAAACAATAACGTAATAGACTAAAAAAATAGGTACAATAAAAAAATGATAAAGTCAAAGTTTTGAAAATTATTAAATGGGCAATCAGTGCCTCGGAAATAAACTGCAGTCATTCTAATCAACTTTTTTAGTAGAGCAGACTGAATGTGGTTTGGACACTTTTGAGTTCTATATTTACATATATAAATTATATTTCGACAAGAAATGCAGTTAGACCCAATTATTGTCACAATATGTACTGTTTACTAATAATCTAACTATTAAAACTTTTCTCTAATATACATGACTTGTTAGTTTTGGTAACATATTTCTATGTTCTGATAACAATTTTTCTATGACAGTGTCATATACCTCCAAAATTCCTCTATAAATAGTACAACATAGTTCAATTTACCTCCCAGGTACTGATATCCGTAAATATTTAATTAAGTCTTCATGATATAGGTACATACGTAACATAGACACAACTATTTAGTTTCTTGAATTAATTTAGCCAAGTCCAATATTTATTTTGTATATCGTCTTTAAAAAAACTGTAATTTATGTTTAGCTTCCATTTTTTTTTTGTAAATGCATGTGACACCATCATTTGAGTTAAATCCTCACTGTTTATTAGTACCTCTAGCATTTATAGATCGGACATATTTCTATAACTTCAAATTCATTAGGGACAACCTACAAAATAAAAGAATTATTCATACAAAATTGTACCAGGGTCAAGAAATTATCCTTGTTCAAATAAAACATAAATAAAATTGTCATACGTATGAAATACCTTCTGGTACAATGTACAATGATTTTTTTTTGGCTGGCAACTGCATTCTAAAATCTGTTTAAAGTTAGATAGTTTATATCATTACCATAAGAGCCCATTTCTTAAAGCAATTCAGTCATCGCTTAATTTTGATGGTTTTCCTATAAAAGAATACCGATGACATTGTATCCATTTACGCAGTTTTCTGTTTTAGAGTTGGGTATAAAACACATGACTATATTGTAACAACTGGAATAAAACAAAATATAAACATAACCTCAAAAATAATAGTAAATGTTTTACTTGGAGCTTGGAGATGTGTTTCGTTAACAATCATTGAATAGACACATACTTCCGCTTTATTAAATTAGTAGTTTTATTTAAACACGATTTTTAAATAAACACAATTAAAATTGTCTTGTGGTGAATTTTAGGGTTTGACAGCTTCATTGGAAACGTCAAGATAAAATAATGTGATATGTATTATGAAAAGTGAACGCCCTTTGAGTCGTACTTTGATTAATTTGACGTTAATAATTTTATATTTAAAGTTTGACTGAATGAAAATATTTTTTTATCATTTAAATTATGCTATTTAAAAAAAAATGTATTCTCACTAAAACTGACTAGCTCCATTTTCGAGTTTGACATTTTGTAAAACTGTGCGGACAATTTTAGTATCGTCATAGCATCTCTTCTTTATTTTATAACAATGATTGGAACATTCGTATGCCCCTCCCTACTTTGTGACGTTATTGTGTGCGTTGCGCAAATTAAGCTGATTTAAATGATTTTATGTTTGTTTCACTACGTTTTCGGATCTGTTAACGTGTGACATCTCTTTTAAGCTAAATACTTTCGAGAACACTTCTCAATCCTTCGGGCTCGCTTATAAAAGAACCCCATATAGATATTAACACGTATGAAAACAATAAAATTATTAATATTGAATTAATATTTTTATGTTATTTATTTTATAATAATGTGTTTTTATAAAATGTAACTGGGTGTTCACTTCACAAATAAACCAATGGAGAAACCGCCCCTGGTGTAGAGCAACCAAAAAAAAGGTCCATACAAACCATACACTTTTTATACCTATGTATATAAACTGAAGGGATGTATCATCCCTAATAAAAGATCCAAACTGCTTTTTCAATGGTTTAATTCACGATCAAGTATTCTCAATTACAATATTGATGTGGTATTTCCACTCTCTATTCGCGTACTGCCTACTGCGCTGGTCTTCCTTCTCCCGGTCGTCCATCCTGACATGCATGTCTATGGCCTTCAAGAATGTGGTGGGGAGCAGAGGCACACCGCTAACACGTATTGTAATGTCAAAACTAGTAAAATATTGAAACGAAAGTAGTAGTATCGAAACAAAAGTAGTATCGATATGGGTAAAGTATCGGCTACTAAATTACCCGGTATCGAAAGAAAAGTATCGATACTAGTATCATATCAGTAGTATCGCAGTATCGCAACATCCCTAACCGGAGGCAATGTGGAATAATGATAATCTTGGTTGGACAGTCCAGTGTCCTAATAATTCTAAAGCTCATTGTGTGGCTGACAGTTTTGCATTTTCAAATTTATTTCAATTAAATTACATCCCTAACCAACGGCAAGTGTATTTAACTTTAATATTTAGTCATTTGTCTAATATTAAAGTAAAAGTTGCTGTGGATTACGAGAAGCACATGTACTTAATTAGTTTATTTTCTAAAAATTTACTCTTGAAGTGTACTATACTTAGACCGTGTTGCCTATTGGAAAATACAAAACTACACAAAATGGTCGTAACTATGATTAAAGGATCAAATGGCATTAAAACATCAATTTATTCACTATCTCTCTCTCTCTCTCTCTCTCTCTCTCTCTCTCTCTCTCTTCACGAAACAAAGAATGTTCTTATTTAATTTTTACAGACTCCCTACAGAGGAATGTTCAAAACAGCGATCGGGATCGGTAAAGAAGAGGGAATCGGAAGATTATGGCAGGGTGTTCATGCAGCCTTCCTCAGACACATGATTTATTCTGGAACCAGAATAATTACTTACAAAGCGCTCAAAGAAAAATTTCTGAAGAAACATCCCGAGCAAAGTCAGTTTCCATTGTGGCAATCAGCAGTATGTAAGTATCAAATATAGCGTGGGAGGATCATTTCCTTTCGAGATTGCACCACTATACTAAATTTACACATATAATAATAATCCATCGTAAAAATGACATGTTCAGGTCGTCGGACTGAAAAAATGGCGCTTTCAATTTGGCGGTCACTATGACCGATTGGGTGAGGGTTTATTTATTAAGTAATCGTGCAAAAATTAATTATGTTGTAATGGGACATGTTCAAAAATTTTGAATTTTTTTTTATGAATAATAATTTTTTAAAATTTAAGACGTAGCCGGGAATAGACCAATAGGAACTGGCGACATAACGTTGCCGATTAGACGGTATACGAGAAGTAATATACGTTCGTTTGTGTGCACCGTCTTACTTTTAGACTTCAAAAATATCGTTAAACAAATATCTTTTAAATATGAAATATTAAATGTTTTAAAAAGTATTATTTATGTTTAAACTTTCATCATATTTATAGTTTCATTGTTTTAAAAAACGTCACTAATAAAGAAGGAAATGACAATGCGGCAGCACTGTATGTATCATCTGTCAATCAAGAATTTGTGTGTTGTGTCAATCAATAATAAGGTATTTTCCTTTACATCGAAAGTGTAGCACTGAGCTACACCACTTCTGAAAGTATCGTTAAATTTATAAAAATTGTATTGATGGAACGATATTTTCAGAAGTGACGTAGCTCAGTGCTACACTTTCGATGCAAAGGAAAAGACCTATTATTTATTGTTTAATTTTGTATATTTTTATAAATATTATGAGTACGAAAAAGTGTTTCTTCCCAAGATACGATAATGATTCACATTCATTATTAGTATTACTAGAAATATAAAAAGAAGAAAATTATTATTATTACACAGAAACGCTTCAAGCAACAGCTAAATAAATTATTTTGAGGTTTGTATCTATTTTCTTTATTAAAATGAAACTGTTTTATTATAATTTATTAGACTTCAATTATCTACCATTGTAGTAACGATGTTTTTTCTTTTTTTTTAAACCAGATGATTTTGAAAACTGTTCATTTTTTAAATGATGGATGAACCTTTACACATTAAGAAGTGGGTAGTACCACACAAATGTCTCCAAAGTTCTTGTTATTCACCACAAAAGTGCCAGCTCTCTGATTCTACCAAAAAAGAAAACAGAAAAAAAATGTCTTCTAAAAAGTTGACTAGAAAATAACCTTCTACTAGAGGCGTAGAGGCATATACTTCAATATGCAGCAGCATTTTCTGACATTGTCCGCATAAAGTTTTGAACATAGTGAAGTTTTGTCTAAATAAGAACATCTTTAATAACTGATTCAGAGGGACTTAGGATCTTCAAAACCCATGAAAATAATTGAAAATAAACCGAAGGTATATTTAGGATTGCCCAACAGTGTTTTTAAAATCCTCAATGATATTTATGAGAAGGAAAGTGTAGCTTACATAAACCTTTTACATTTCTGTGGGAATTAGTGGTGTTGTTAACTTAAAAGAATTCATTTTGTAAGACTAAATACCATTAATTTAATAAACTGTTTTTTTTTTTTATTAATTTATCATATTTCAGAGATTATAATAATTGTATACAAACACATGTAAAATCTGTGAACATTTTATTTCTTAACCTATTATTAAAAAATAAAAGTACCTGAATAAGATAAACGAAGTAAAAAACACTTTATTTACTAATAATAAAAAAATATATATACAAGTCCTAACAATAATGCAGTTGCACAAATTAAAATTCCCTCTAAAGATTCTTTATCAAATTCAACTTGTTATCTACCTCATTATTTACTTCAAATGTGGGAGAAACAATGCAAACTAGTTTATGTTCACGTGTAATTATTCCGTTTACTGTGCAAATGTCTCCTTTTCTCAAGTTATTTATGGAAAATCGCATTATCTCCATATACTTGCTTGGCAGATCTAAAAATAATAAAATATTTAATAAAGTGTTTGTGTTTTTATTATTTCAATTTAGCAATATTATCGTAGAATTATTCATGTAAATACTAGACATGTGTATAATAGTTATAACAGAAAGAGTTTGTATAATTACAAAAAGTAGTCATTCATACACAAAAATGTACTTAAATTACAATTATTTACAATGGCATGTAGCAAGTAGGTAATCCTGGACCAAATAAAAATAGTATTACAGTAAATACTTGTGCACTACCCTTCTAAATAGTTTTAGATGTTATTTAGTTTTAATTTTTGAGGTAGGCAAACTCATTTTATGCAATAACAAATTTGCTATTTCTCAGATATTACATAATTATACTTTTACTTCTAATTATAGAAATTATACCAAAAGCACAGCTTTAAACGTCGCTCTCTCGCTCAAATTAGAGATTGGCTTTTGTTACGTCAAGGTACAGATATATCGTCCCAATTTCTAGTGTTATATTTGTGGATATCACTGTACGCTAATATATTATAAAAAAAATATTTTTTCTTATACATGTAAACGAGGTAAAGGGTAAAGGTAAAATGTTTATTTTTGAAAAACTGTTACTGTTTGACAACACTAATGACCTGAGATAAATATGTTTTTACTATAAGGTGTATTGCCCCATATAAACTGTACCTACTATTAAAACAAATTATAAATAAAGTGTTACATACCTTTCTGTCTTAACATGATTAACTTGTGGCACTTATAAACTGAGTATTGTTAAAAAAATGCAGTAAACGTACAGTTCACTTAGATAATATAATAGCAGATAGGCCACCACTGCATAAAGTTATACAATATGAATGTCGCTATCATATAATCAGTACCTCTCTTTCTAATGAAGGCTTTCTCACTCGTTTTAGAATTAGCAGCAGTAGCGTACCGTAAAACAATTTCGCTGGGTCATTTTAAATGTGAAAATGTTGACCAAGTATAATATAAAATAAAATGTTTTAAAAGGTAGGTAGGTGCATTTTTAATGAAGTGAAAACAAAATATGACTTTTTTGTTATGAATATATTAATAACAATTACTTTTAACACCACAACACGAACAAATTTAAATTAAACACTGGAATAATTATCTGAGACAAGCTTTGTAAAACTGACAAATAAAAACAAAGAGATAGAGATATTAATCTATTTCTCTCTAATTAGAATTCTCGACCATATTATCATGGCGACACAAACATTGTTTACTGTCCTCTCTTTACTACTTACTTACTCTGAGACAGTTCATCAAATTTCTAGAGGCTTTCGACGGCTAGACAGAGAAAGCACTACTGAGAGGCATCGGTTGGCGGGGCCGACGGATTTACGCAATGAAAGTACACTCTGCGCATCAAGTATTTCACTATTTTATTCAGACGTAAATGTCAGATGTAAATTTAGCTAAAACATTTCTTTTATTTTCGTTTGTGTTTTTTGCTCATTACAGTTTAATAGAACCTAAGTATGGAGTTTAATAGCAAATTAAGAGGCCGCGTGATTAACAGTCAATCTTGCGAAATAATAGCCAATGTTATAGAGTTTATGAGAAGAGAAGGAAACTTTAATTCACCTTCAATACCATTTAAAAATGTAAATGATCGTGCTGCTGCAGCCACAGGAGTATCTAAAAACACTGTCGTCCGCATTTCTGGAGAGAAAAAAAGAATCGATAACCGTGAGATATCGGAATTTTCATCACCAAGAAAAACCATTAAAAAACCAAAAACAGTTAATGATAGATGAAGCTGACAAAGGTATTTTAAAAAGAATTATTCTGTTCATGTTAATCTCGGAAAATATTGTTCCAACATTAAAAACAATTCTGACTAAATTTAGAGAAGCTACAGGGTACAAAGGAAGCTATGAAAGTTTAAGAAAAATAATAAAGTCGCTAGGATTTCGTTGGCGGAAAACAAAAACAAACAGAAAAATATTAATGGAAAGGTTTGATATTCAAAAGCTACGTTTAGACTATCTGATTCGTTTAAAAAGTTATCGAGCAGAGGGCCGTCCAATTGTCTACTTAGATGAAACATACATTCATGCCTCCCACACACACCAGAAAGCTTGGAGTGATAATTCAAATGAGGGATTAAAGAAACCAATTAATAAAGGTGATAGACTAATTATTGTCCATGCAGGAGGTGAAATGGGCTTTATTCCGAATGCCCGGTTAATTTTCAAATCTGGAACCAAAAGTGGAGACTACCACGATGAAATGAATTTTAATAATGTTTCTAAATGGTTGAAAGAAAAGCTGTTCCCGAACCTCCCTCCAAGAAGCGTCATTATTGGATAATGCTCCTTACCATAATGTCCAGGTAAATAAAGCACCAACGTCATCTTCTAAAAAAGCTGACATGCAGGATTGGTTAAGGAATCATAATATTGCTTACGAAGAGGATATGCTCAAAACGCAATTATACAGTTTAGTGCTATTGCATAAGTCACGATTTAAGAGGTATGCAATTGAAGAAATGATAAATGAACATGGTTTTAGTTGTTTGCGTTTGCCACCGTATCATCCCGATCTTAATCCGATCGAATTAGTGTGGGCATCATTGAAACAATATGTAGCTAGTAACAACACTACATTTAAGAGGCAAGACGTACAACTGTTGTGTGAAGACTAAGAGGAGTGGCAATCTCGTTGTAATAATGCTAAAATGTGGGAATCTAAATTTTATGACAGAGAAGTTACTTTGGATGAGGCAACTGATAGATTTATAATTAACTTAAACAGTGACAGTGAGACTGATTTTGAATCTGATATGGAAACTGAAGAAAGTTTTTCGGAAGACCATTAAAATTGTATCTGTACCTAAGATCAAAAAAGTATTATCTATTTTTACAACGAAGATGCACAAGAATCAAATTTTATTTTTTTATTATTAGATAGCTATTTTTGTTTCTGAGTTGTGTCCATTTACAGGCTCAATTTTTTCCGTTTCTCCTTTTTGATTTTATATGGGGTTTCAAGTTGTTTTTGACTTATTTCGACGTAAATCACAACAACACACTTTTTTAATAAAGCAAACAAGTGTTAAGAGGTATATGTACGTGTAAACTACAATTACAAAAAATTGATATGAAACCCATGAAACCACCAACAAAAATGTAAAGCTAGTTTCCGTACTAGAACATGGCGTCATTCGTCGAGATAATTTATCGTTTTGTTTAATAGATCAAGAAATGTAAATATTCCCCTGTTATTTTTTATAAAATTATAAGAGAAATAAATTTTTTTCTAAATAGTATAGTTTATTATTTTGTAGAAAAACAAAATTTCGAAAATTTTAGTAATGTTTCAGAAACAACCGTTATTAATAATAGGTACCATTTTCCTTAATAAGGTAGAAATAAAATATAAACTATTTACACGATTTACAAAGGCCTACAAAAAAATTATAGGTATTTTCCGCTATCCTATAAAATTTATATTTTCTGACTCAATTTCAAAAGGTTGAAGGAATTCCAAAACACCTTTTATGGCATAATAATTATTTTCAATTCTACATACTATCTTTAGCTGCTTTTAAAAACGTTCTAAGAAAGTCCAATCAGACCAATTTAATCCCTAAACTATTCCACACTTTTAAAATTTAATTACCTAAAAATATTAAAAACTATTTAAAATAACTTGTTTAGCAGACTGTACAATAGCTATCTTAGTCACACGTAGCGCGTTCTCTGTCTGGGCGTCGAACACCTCTAGAAATTTGATGAACTGTATCTTGGTTTATAATGGGTAAAACACTTGAATCAGCTTTTATAAATCCAGCTGACAAACTCACAATAATAATAAAATTAAACAAAAACAAAAGAAATAAATCGAGAAACGAGAAAAAAGTAAAAAATACAACAACGAATGTTAGGTAAGGTGGTGTCAATTTTCAAGTGTCACTAAGATGTGCGTTCACTTCGACATTCTATATGTCGGTTTGTTCATTGACTTGGTTCCGTATAACAAACAAAACTTCGACACAGTCTGATTGGTCTATTCCCGATATTTCAAGTTTTAAATTATAAAGGGCTATTCTTTAAAACGTTTCAATTTTTTAAGCAACTAATTATTTAGAATAACTTGTATAGTGGATATTACAATATAATTTCTAAAACAGCATATCTCACATCTGAACATGGCCCATTAAAAAACCTCGTTATGCAGCCGGTAAACTCGTCGTCTATAACTTGCTTTTATTTTTTTTTTTAAAGTGGTATACAAAACTTTTATTTGATAGTTTGATTAGTAGGAAATACAAATTTAAGTGTATCACTTCTATTCTTGGCACAAGCGTTTGATAGAACACCCTTAATATGTTTACCATATATTTTTTATACAAGGTATAAGAAAGAATTAAACGTGAACATTTTTGTTTTTCATTTCTCTTTTGAATAAAATTAATCTGGTACGTTAATACTTGACCAAAATCTTTCCAGACTATGAATTTTTCTTGCACAGAAATCTTTAATTTTTGTAAGTTTTTCGCGACAGAGCTGCTCTAAAATATTAGCATATCCCATAATAATTTGTGTGAATTGTCTTGCAGCGTGTCAAATTTAAATCGAACGTAGTTGGGCCCTTAAGACCCATTCTTCTTAGTTTCATGAAACGTTCATAAAATACCCGATGTGTAAAAGTTCTGCAACAAACCGACGATGTGTTTTGAAGGTGGTGTATCCGCTGGTGCTTTCGCGCAATACTTGGCGAGTCCAACGGATCTTCTGAAGGTTCAAATACAGATGGAGGGAAAACGGAAGGTGTTAGGCTTGCCGCCCAGAGTCCATGGCTTGGCTGATGCTTTTCAAAAAGTTTGGGCTAGTGGTGGCGTTAAAGGACTGTGGAAGGGTAAGTTATGTTTACTGCATACCGTTGTATGAAGATTATATAGTAGGGTAACCTTATGGACTTATCATTGGAGGACGATGGACATAGAATGTAGATGGCGATACGGTATTTGTGGTCCAAGTCAGGTCTTTAGGTCATGTCTGTGCTTGAGTATGAATTATAATTTAAAATCTTCTTTTTCATTTATACTGTCTTCGGTAATGTATTTTTATAGTTACTATTTACTATTGCAAATTATTACAAAAGGGTATTTGAAGGTCACATAAAATGTGAAAATAATCAATATAATAAAATAAACCAGTTTTTGTTTGGAAAAGATTGAATGAGTTAAGATTGGGTGGAATATCACTATAATAGGGGAACATTTTTTTCTATATTGTGGATTGTGGTTGGATTTTGGATTGATCGCTTGAGTTTTACGCTGTTTATTTTTATTCACTTTTATATAATAATGGTATCAAATTAAGAATAGGACATGAACAACTGAAGATTATTGTTCAAAATGAGACGAATAGACGAAAATAAAAAATGCTTGGAAAAAATATTCTGAAATACAGGATGTTAAGTTGAAAATTAAAAAATTAATAATGGGTAAATATATAGGTGTAGTTATAATTTTATTATTCAATATAAGTTTACTAAAATCGGCACTGACAAAATTTAACTAACAGATTTTTTTGTTGTTAGGTAAACTTATAACATAATACCAAACACGTTTACTGAAATTATACTAAGTAATAAAAACATGTAAGCCACTAATTTTCAATTTTCATTTTTTACCACCATTTGAAAACGAATCGAGTACCAATTTATGGTAGCGGAATCAGTAGCACATTTAGGAGTATTATTTTCGAAAGGCAAAATTACAAATTTTTCATTTAATTTTTTTTGTACATGGAAATACTTTCCTGCATGCCCTACAGTGATGAAGCGCTCAACGAAGGCGTCTTAAAAAATAAATTATAGAAAATGCGAATGTTACATGTTTGATTAGATACATTGACATAAACCTTCATTGCTCAGGACGTTAAGTGCTCAACTTTGGATTTCATGAAGTTCAGTTACCGACTACTACTATTTTTTCTGAACTGTTATCAAAATACTATAAAATTTAGCAGAAAGATTGCATTAATTGTATTTTTCATATTTTTTTCCAAAAAAAAAGAATATTTTTATCTGTAATTGAATCCGGGTTGGGAAATCAAAACTTGAACGCTTAACGACTTAAGTCTTGAAGGCACTTATATCAAGTTAATTATCTAATTAAATATGTGACGTGGCTTTTTAAAATACCATCATTGTGCACTCCACTGCTGGTGTGTCCATCTTCTACAAGAGAAAAAAGAAGGAAACATTTGTAAAGTTGTCTTGCACAAATGTGTACCAAAAAAGGGCAACTGGCTCTCGTAAGCCTTTTTCGTTTAATCGTCTCATTATTTGAACACTAAATGCCAGCATGGGAAATATATGTTAAAGTTAGTTTTAAGAACTTTTAACATTCAAATAAAAAACAATTTATAAATCTATTATTAAAATCCGCATTGGAACAAAACATGTAAAATTGTTGAATTTGATAGATATTCTAAAAAGGGAAAGGACTTCGATCGCGAGCCTATTGGACTGAATATTCAGTTTAATGACAATTATTAATATTACTATTCTTAAATATTTTGTTGTTTAATTTGCTTGTAAATTTATGTGTGAATATATTTATAAATTACACTGGTCAACAGTGATTTTGTGGACGGGGGTTTAAGAGCGTTTTTGGACGATCGTTTTACCAATTTCAAATCGCTTCTCCAGCCTATAAATCTTCAATGGTTTTAAAAAGAATAAAATAAAGTAGTTCTGTCTAAAACTAAAATAAATTTGCTTTCTCGATTATTTCCAAACTTTTCCTTAACGCCTTAGTTGTAAGTTTGATATTACATTTTTTTAATTTGCTATTTCTGTGGAATCGCTAATTTTCACTTGCGTTATTGTTCTTCTAAAAAGCGAAATGTGACTCATGTTTTGCTTGATTGGCTTTAATTTTTGAGATAGTCAACCAGTCGAAATAAAAATTCAAAAAATAATAAGACATTAATTTATTTATTTAATCAGTTTTGTCTGAGCTAACTAAAAGGCTGCATTCTATAAACAATGAAAAATAGTGATTGTTGTTTTGAACTACTTAAAACATTTTCACTCGAACGGCATGATTCAATTTAAAAATACTTTCCAGAATAAAACCACCTGTTACAGTTTTGACTTCATTTATTACTAAACAGCCAAGTCATATACAAAAACGTTAATCCAAAATCTAAATTAAAAGTAATAACAAATTGCCTATCTACTAGGGTCGGTAACCAAACGTATAAACAGAATGGGCGGATTTTGTTCATACTTAACATTACACTCTCACACTGACACTTAACCTGGATTAAATATTGTTTGTTTGTAAATACAAATATTTACAAACAAATATACTTTTCCAAACAGTGATAAATTATATAAAAAAAATGTTTTTTATAAGATTTTCTCTTGTGTTCAAAGTTAGGACTTTATAATTATTGTGTCGTTCGTAGAATTCTGTACTAAATAAGAGCACTGATTTTGGAAATAAATTTTAACCATTTTGGCAAGTTGTTGAACCTTGTAACATTGCATAATGAAATATAAAGACTAACTGAGTATGTCTGCCACAGATAGACCACTTATAGGTCTATCGATTTCGTCTTGAGCTATTCCTAAAGAGCGGAGCTATTGAAAACTTCCTTTCAAGGTGATTTTTTTCAACACTCAGAGCCAGCCGAGAGAACATTTTTTCTTATATTCATGATCAACAGCCAAGATACATTTGGAAGTCGTTAATATATCCCTGTGACTATTTTTTTTTAATTTGTTTTCCAGTGTTGATTGATTTTTCCCTGATTAGAGATTTTCTTGTTCCTTAACTCAATATCTTGCAAACTGTTGATAGCTTTGATGAAATTTTGTTGCAAAGCTTGTTCAAATTTTGAAAACTATAAAAATATTCAGCTATTTTTATGGTTATAAACTTTTCCAACACTTAGTCCAATTAGAGGTACTTAGATTACATGTAACATTTTCAGAAGCTTATTTCTTTTTTTGTATTCTACTTGGAACTTTTCAATTTATTTAAAACATTGGACATTGTTATCAGTTGTTATTAGGTATTTTTTGTTATTGTTTATATATTTTGACATAACCGCACATAACCAAAATATTGACCAAATTCCTTAACCACTTTTTATCACCTTAATCCAAAAATTGTATTTGTACGGTTTTGTCAACTGGAATAAATTTTCATTATTGTTTTATTTTTCATGTCTATTATCATGAATTGTTATTTTTAAATAAATAAAGATGTTTTTAACTATAATAGGTAGGTGATAGAGGCCATGTGCCTGAACGAAAAGAAGACGTAGATGGCGTATCTGCATAGCATTAAAAATTGACTACTTCATTAAATCGTCACTAGATGCCGCTCGAGATTGCATCCAATACTTTTTACTGTTGCATTATCCTACTATATTATCTTCATACAACTTGCATACTAAGGTTTTTTATTTTCCCTTTAAAATGTAGCTGAAGACTTCATATTAATTAGGACTATTAAATGAATATGCTTGCAAATAGTTTGCCCGCTATTACACTTATATAATAATATGAAGGGACGGATATTAATATTATTATTAGTCGTGTCGCTTCAGGGCGGCTTAAAGATGATGGATGGTGCCATTTAACTTAGAGGTGAGAAAAATCCCACCCCCTATCATCGAAACGGTACGCATGGGGATTTTTATAATCTGAATGTCATATCAACAGAAATTAAATTTCTGCTAATACGACATGGTCTGCTGTAGGATTCGCACAAAATTGCTTGCAAATGAGTGCAAGCGCATGACACATACGCCACTGAGATGATTTCTTTCTATAAATAAGTTTGTAGAGTTAAATAGAAGTTGTTTATTTAAATCTAGAAAAATGAATAAAATATCAAATGTTTTAAAATGTTTGCAAGGTTTTACAAGAATAGTAAAACAAAATGAAAACATAGCAAATACAAATTATCTAGAAAACACTATATATAACACAACTGTTTTAAATGTTATCTTCTTCATCGTTTTCACATTCAGTCAATTTAGTTATGAAATCTCTTAATTTCGGTGCCTATGGATACAGGTCCAAAAAATACAAATTTAAATGATACTTATTCTACAGGGTGTCTCACTAAGAATGGGACACAACAACTGAAGATTCTCTGATAAAAATTAGACGATTAAACGAAAGCTTAAATAAAACATTACTAGTTTCCGACATATTTATTATAAATGTACACAAGAATAATTGAATGATTTATAATATTTTGTTCTTTTTTACATTTTTTATAATGTCCCGATGATATCTTAAGGCGGCGTTACCAAATGTATTAGCACAGAAGATTTTTCAACTTGTAAGAGGGCTTAATAGGCGATAACTCTATGCGAATTTGGTTTTATAATATTCTAATGGTATTAAACAATTTCCTGAATGTATTGAAAAGTGAAAAAAAAAAAGAATGAGAGAAAAGAACGAAATTGTGAAAATTTTACATTTTAAAAAGTCATCAAAAATCGTTATAAAAACTATTTCAGGAAATATAATATATTCCCATTAGAGGCCTCACACAAAAAATATTTCATCTTTTTCTTTCATTTACAAGTTCTTTACAGCAGAATTTTTTTTTAAATTTTAACGTAATTTTAACTATATTACCGCAATCAACATTACATTAAGCGTTCACGTACTTTTAAATAGATGGTGCGACCTGAAAATTTCAAATTTATGTCGAACGACTAACGAGTCAAAACCAACAACGTTGTTATATTTTTATAAAGGAGTGGAAAAAAGGGACATTCGTTACTTTATTACAAAAATTATTGTATATATATATTTTGCAAGTATACTGTGTGTTAAATCTGGTTGTGTAGAAACGTCTAAAAAGTGCAGAAAACTTTTTTAAAATGTTTTATTTTTATATTTCAAAATATCAAAACATTATTTGTCAAATAATAAATAGTAGGTTGTGCAACAAGAGTGGATATGGGCAATCCACTTGAGTTGTACAGTATATTTTTTCTACGGCCCACTAACGAAAATCTACAAATTTAAAAAATTATATTAGGTTATTAGGACAAAATAACTAATTTTAAAATAATTTATGAATTTTACTAATTTATAAAACAAACATAAAAAAAAATAATTTAGCTTATCTACGTACAGACTACAAAACGAAAAAGTATGCTATTACGTTTAATTGAACGTATATATTTCATATCCATTCTAGGTAGTCAGAACAATTTTAAATAAGTAACAATTTTGTCAAAACTAATTGTCAGTATATTTTTTAGTTATTGACATTAACTATACATTAAAATGAGTTATTCTTGTATAGAATCGATAAATAATAGCATTTCTATTTTTATTTCGTCTATAATTATAAATAATTGTTTCTACACCCACATGGATATTGGCTTATCTAAGCATAGACTAAAGTAAGTGATCTGTGACACAGACTACAAAATGAAAAAGTATGCTATTGCATTCAACTGAACGAATATATTTAATATCCATTCTAGGTAGTAAGAACACTGCAAAAAAAATTAAATCGACCAATCACAGTTCATATTTTGGACACCCAACTACTATAATATTTAAAATTTGAAATAAGTGACAATTCTGTCAAATTAATTGTCAGTATATTTTTTAGTTATTGAGATTAAATATACATTAAAATTAGTTATTTTTGTGTGGAATCGATAAATAATAGCATTTTATTTTTATTTGGTCCACATTTTGAAAAAATCTTAAATTTAAATTAAACTTTATGAAACTAATTTAATTGCGAGTATTAAGACTAAAATCATAAATGTGGAGGTGAAAATGAGGGTACGGCATCTGTCTTCCACGTGAGAGACCCAGTTTCGATTCTAGGCGAATTAAAATATTTTTTTTTATTTTATTTTACAAATTAGTAAAAGTCATAAATTATGTTAAAAATAGTTATTTTGTTCTAATAATTTTTTAAATTTATAGATTTTCGTTAGTGGGTCGTAAAAAAATATACTGTACAACTCAAGTGGATTGTCCATATCCACTCTTGGTGCATTAACAAAAATGTTAACTGAATAGATGGTGGTGAGGTCAGCGCAGGCCAGAGTTCTAATTTCGGAATAGGGATAAATTGAATTAAATCTTTTTTCTTTTTTTTTCTTGCTTATTTTTTTTAGGTGACCGTCATAAAAAATTACATTTTACAGATAACATCCCTAAAATATCACTTTTTTTGGCCGCATTAACTTTACGACAGCATTTACTTTACGGTCGATTTAAAGTGTCACTGTTTTGGCCGCATTTACTTGATGGCCACATTTACTTTACGGCCACATTTACTTGACGGCCACATTTACTTGACGGCCACATTTACTTGACGGCCACATTTACTTGACGTCCACATTTACTTGACGGCCACATTTACTTTACGGCCACTTTTACTTTACGTCCGCTTTTTATAAACACAGGTTTATCATACTTATCGTTAGTAATTCTGTACAAATTTTATTAGATTATTATTAACGATGGATTTTTATTCGATCAATAAAAATTTGAAATAAGAATTTTAAAAAATATTGGCTTTACTTGATGAAAAAGTCGCCTAAAAAATTTTGTGTGCAGCTCGGCCATATAATAATAATAATAATAATAATAATGATCTTTTTTGCCTTCGGCCTTGGTACACAAATAACTATTATAAATTAGTAAAAGTCCTATATTATTTTTAAATTAGGTATTTTATCTTAATAACCTTAAATAATTTTTAATATTTGTAGATTTTCGTTAGTGGGTCGTAGAAAAAATATACTGTACAACTCGAGTGGATTGTTCATATCCCCTCTTGTTGGACAAACTACTGTTAATTAACTGAATTGTTCTGACGGTTCGCCGTCATTATTTGTTTTCATTTACAATACCTCAGTTTTTAGCGACCTCTGTTGGATTTTTTAGTACCTAATATACACAATTTGGTGCCATATTTTGAAGGGAGTTGAAATACCTTTATATGTCATTCATAAATTAAATTAATATTTTGTCATTAATTAATATTAAAATGATATTAATTAATATGGTGTCAAATTTCCATAGCCCCACCGTGGTTTTAAAAATAAACTTAACGGCATACTTTCCATATTTCATTTTAAAATATTACTTAAAAACACTTCATCTCCATAATCGCCCTCTGTGGTTGATATGAAAACTGTAATATTAAAATTTAGATGTCGTTTAATGTCTAACAAACTTGCCTATATCAATCTTATTGTTTTAACTATTAAGTCATATAAACGTGTATACTTTCATCTGAATTGCTTTTTTTATTCCATCTCCCACAAGAAAACCTATGTATTTTTTCATAATTACAAATTTATAATTCCAGGATCAGTTCCTAATGTTCAACGGGCCGCTTTAGTAAACTTGGGCGATTTGACAACATACGACATGGCAAAAAGAACAATCATGAAGCACACAGATCTACCTGATAACTATATACTGCATATTTTGTCAAGTAGCTGCGCTGGTTTCGTAGCTGCTGCAATGGGAACCCCTGCAGATGTAATTAAAACTAGGGTAATGAATCAGCCAATGGACGATAGAGGGAAGTAAGTTTAAATTTTCGATTGATATCTCTGAATATTTTGTCTGTTGTAAATGTATAAATAACGTTCAATCTGAGACAATTTGGATTATGTTCGACTTGCCTTAATTCTTCTGTAATTGTTTGAAAACAATTCAAACATAGTCTTGTATTTTTAAGAATATCTTGGGAAGGATATCCAGCTTCTTCTCTTCTACTAATTGCTGTCTGTGATCCTGAAACATCACAAACGAACACCCTTATTTATCTTATAAATGTAACATTTAAATGTATTGTTAGCAAACGTTTACGTATGAAAAGGAGCGATTGAGCATCGATGATGGATTGTATAACCGTCCGTGCATCGTCCGTATGTTCGTAATACATCAAATGTATCTAATGTATAAACGATCGCAGAGTGTTGTCGCTTGGATACAGACAAAGTAGGCTCATTTGATCTGGTTAGGTCTGTATTCACATAGATATTAGCGTCACTTTGTATTAATAACGTTAAATAATGCATTTAATTAGATTTGGTGATAAGCAAAATAGTTATTAAAAATATCGTTTTCCAAATTATAAATACGTTTAGCGGGCGTAAAATGCCCCTTTATCACCCGCGAAATACTTTACCGCCGGCTAACTACTTTACCACCGGTAAAATTTCAAATTCTATCAAATTTAATCTGTGAGATAATTCAGTATGTACTAAGTGTATAATATTGAAGCAATCTCTTTTTGAATATTATTTCTGCTTGTCTTCTAATAACCACTTCAAAAATCCTGCTTGTGTTCCTTTTTTAGCTCCTGGGGTACTGTTGTTAGTTTTTAATCTCATATAACTTAACAAATATTGTCATGAAAATTTTTTAATGTTTTCTTTTTTTTTAATAAAACTGGAAATCTACCAAGTTTGGTTTTCTCATTTAAGTAATAGTAACTTCTCAATTTGCTGATATGAATCGTAACCGAACCATAATAAATTTCGGTTCGCAAACCTGGATCATAGATAGGGGTATCTACTTCTTTAACAGCTTGGTTTAATTCGGTTTTTGTTTCCAGGGGAACTCTCTATTCATCGTCTATAGACTGCTTGAGAAAAACAATAAAACAGGAAGGACTGGTTGCCCTTTATAAAGGTTTTTTACCAATTTGGATGCGAATGGCTCCTTGGTCTTTAACATTTTGGTTGACATACGAAGAGGCTGTTAAATTAATGGGTGCTAAGAGTTGGTAGGAAATTTACAATGATCTGTAGTCGCGACTATTTAATTTAAACATGGATGTCACTACCTATATTTTTAAAAGAGTGGATTTTTAATATAATAAATTTGAAATTCATATATTTATATACTATAGGCGAATGATGGGTGTTAAATGGTAGCCACATTCATGAATTTGTAGTACACAATTTATTTAAATCGACTGAACACCTTTTTATTTCGGTTTTAGATAGTTTTTTAATCATGTTATTTAATTTTAATGTATACTGTAATTTAAAATTATATAGAACACTTTTTAGGTTACTTCTGTATAAGCATCAATACGTTCTCAAATGAATATTCGCAAAAAAATTGTTTAAAATATACACATAATATCGTTATTTAACAATGAAATAATAAGGAAAACTAAACCATTGAAAGAATTGTTTTTAAATAAAAAAAAAGACTGCCTTAAGAATTAAAAATTATTTAAAAAATAGATACCGAAAACATGGTTTCGTATTTAGCAGAAATCAAGTTGTTGTTTTACATAAATAGTAATCTGATGAATAATATGGGTTATAGATTAAATAAATGTATTTAATACTAACGACTTTTGGTAAATATTGCAAAGACGCCCTTTTTTAAAACGACCTTTTTTTTTTAGAGAACTTAAATTTTAGGCTTTAGGAAGGGGAGTATTATTTAAATATACCACCGGAAACCCCATAAATGAACTTTTTTTTTAATAACTAATGGACGCCGTTTAATATAGGCTTTGTTTGAAGCCAGTATCTACGAACGTTTGACAGTTTTGGTCTACATGGGCGTATTAAATAGTTTTTTTTATCAGAATCCAAAGGATTCTTTTGTAAAAATTTAAATTTAAAGAAAAATGCATCTATAACAAAGGTTGAAATGACGAGGCCTTAAAATCTTGACTAGTGGCATTAATTTTATTCAGATAATATATTTACATTTAAATAAAACGCTAAAATAACTTAACTGTAGCTTTGTTAGTATAACATAGTAACATTAAAATTTTCTATAAAAACGTCCCAAACTCTAGCAACATTTTCAGTGATTTGTTATCGATTCAGGTTTTATTTTGTTTTAATAAACTAAAAGATTTCTTTATCACAAATACTAATTTTATAGATGAGAAATACGTTTTTCATAAATTTTTAAGGTCATTTATACAAATAAAATTAATATTTGTCTACCAAAGGCTATATAAAGTTGATCAGAAATTTACGGCAGAGGCCAAGTAACTTCTGGTGAGTAATAAATATTACAATAGATAGACAGATAATTTATTTCATGTAGACAGTTTTACAGAATAAACATATATTTTTAAAAACTTTTTGAGCTTATTCTTAAATAAAATATCTGTTTTACATTTTTTTTATGAAGTCCGGAAGTTTATTGTATAAAATGGGTCCTATTTATTTAGGAGACTTTTTAGTTAAATGTAATCTATTAACTGACATATGACTAGTTCCAAAATTATGAAATCTATATTTTTCTTAAATTTATTTAAGTTCCTAAAAACATAAACAAATTTCTAGAACATATAATGAAGTTATAGTGGTAAAATACCATATTCTACAAATCTACCTATTATTCTAAGGATCTTTCTTTGAAGAATCCCCCTATCTCAATCGACATGCTACTGTAGCATAATACAGATTAAAGTTTCATGATCTAAAACTTCTCTTACATTTCTAAACAAGTAAGACAATATTAGTAATTTTAGAAACTTGACGCTAGTATCTAGCCAGTTCATTCCTAAATTGTATGCACAATGTCTGAAAAACCTCCTCTATACATCTAAATCACATAAATTTCGTCTGCTTACCAGCAAAACACTCTGTCAGATTTTATGAAAAATCCATTAAGCCTCTTAATGCTTTTATGAATATGAAAAAAATTTAAAAATAATAGTGGATTTTACCAGTTTATAGAGTGGAAGAAATTCAGTCAACTAATTTAAATAAGTCAAAAATAAAAAAAAATGACTTAGTGTGTTTTGCTTGTAAACCAACGATTTGTCTAGGTACAACTTGTGTTTAATAAGAATTTTTTATATATGACTCAAATTTCATCCAAAAATGTATAAACATACAATTAACGCAATATTGTTCGGCACTTAGGCCGGGAATAAAATCGTGGACTGTATTTTTTGTTATTTTATTTTGAGTTAAACACAACAACAAACACAACAAATAAGACTGTGGCCTTATGGAAGCTCACAATACAATAATTTAACATTCAAACTGCATGAAGCGAGTCAATACTCAATAATGTTTACTGTTCAAGAGCTGAAGTGCAACTGGGGTGGGATTCCGTTCTGTGTCTAGTAACTCGATCTCGATACGATTCATAATTCGATCGAATTATGAAAAGCAATTCTATAGTCTCTATCTGTTTTGACTTCGGAAATCTTCGACTCTGATTTGATATCAAACTCCATAATTGCAATTCCGTTCAACGAAATTCGACAATAAACTCGATAAAATAACTCGATAGTTCTAGAGTAGTCGATTCGATATCAAATCATTAAAGTTGAATTTTTTTGACATTAGTTATGAACCTTTCCTGCAGTAATGTGCCTTTTCTAAATAACCTCTCTTGCATTAAGGGCCTTATTTTCTCTATTAGGTACTTACGGGGTCATTACTATTTCATAGGGACAGTATCTGTATCTGTAACGTGTGAAGGGTGGGTTAACTCATGGCACTTAGGCCTCACTAGGCCCATTGTGCATCCTCCCAATTAGATAGGTACCTACTAGCTCGTGAGCCAGGGACAGTATTGCTATTTATTAAACGGTAACAAATAGAAAAATGGTTGAATTTGACAAAAGTTGCGCAGTTTTGTGCTTATTAAAATGATGCCAGAAAACATTTGATATCTACAAAGAAATTGAAAATATCTGACAAAAAACGAATGAATGAATTTAACGAAATTACAATTTTCATTTTTTGTCCGATATTTTAAATCTCCCTGTAGATATCAAATGTTTCTTGGCACCATTTTAATAAGCACAAAACTGCGTAACTTTTCTCTTATTTAACCAACCTTCTATCTGTTTAAGAAATATTAATACTGTCCCTATGAAATAGTAGGGACTCTGCATACTACTTGAAACATCAATAAGAGGATTTATTAATTACATAAAACGCTATAAAATATAAATTAATAAAGGTAGATAATCTTTATTCAGCCAAAAAAGCTATCCACAGCGATTTTCGGAGAGTTCGAAAGGATTGCTTCTTTCCCTTAGGTCATTCTTTCTTTAGCACAAAGCACAATAATATTAAATAATAATCTTTTTACAATTTACCCCATTTTTTTTCAACTAATTTTAAGTGGGTGAGTGGGGTAATATTGTCTTTAACAAATAAAAGTATCAAAAGTGGTCATTATAAATAAAACAAAAAGGATAAAATTGAAACCTTCTTCTACTTAGCTGAATTATATTTTTCTAGAAACATGACAAAAAACTAACAAAAGGGTAAAGCACAAATGTTTTGGCATTCTCTACTTACTGTGCTGTTCGTATTTGAAAAAAAGTAAAGTGCTTTCAAAAAAGTTATACACGAATAGCGTTTTGCTGTTCGCACTTCAAGTTTTGACGTATAAGGCTAAGATTTTCGGACGCAGATAAGTCAAAGTTTATAATTATAATGTCAAAATTAGATTCAAATCATAACCTTAGATATTTGGACCAATCAGCATTTACGATTTATAATTATGACAGCTTACAACAAAAATTAAAATTACTTACGAATAGCAAAATCGTCTAGCATTAGAAAATACCATAATCACATGTTTGTCGTTTTGGTGATTGAGCTTTGTTGAGAAGTCCGCTTGGCGCTTTCATTGCTATGTATTTTTGGCTGAAAATTAGAGAATAACATCCTCTGACTTGTTCTAGATTAGCAAACTTCTCATTAATAAACTTTCAACGTGTTTTTAAAGTTTTTGGAATTTTAGATCTTTTAATAATCTCCAAAATGATATGTGCCATAAATATTTTCTACAAACGGGCATTTTTAAATTTACCTATTATTTTTAGCATAACTTTTTTCTCTGATTTTCTATGAGTTTAAAATGTATAATTTGTAGGTATTGTATTGTATAATATTATTATAACTTACTTGAAGATGGATCAAGTTGAGAATTGAATAAAATAGGAATTGCTTCTAGTTTTAAATTCGTCTTTTCCCGGCAGAATTCATAACAAAATTATAATTTAAAAAATGTTTTTATTAATTTTATCAACTTCGACTGTTTCTAATTCTAGGTTTTGAATCCAAATTTCCATCTCTTCAAAGTTTGTAGGAAATCTGGGTAAAAAATTAATAATATTCTACAATAATATATTTGTACTGCCTATGTTTTTTATTTACTTACCTTTGAAAGGACGTTGAACTTCTCCAAATGTATATTTTAGAGCTAAAAAACATTGAAAAGTAATTGTTAACTTACAACTAACAAAATCGCTAAAAAAAACGTTCTAGAAACTATAAAAACTTTAAAAATATGCCCTGGGAATATAAAATCCTACAAAATCTACAAACAAAACTGACAGTTCCCTAGTGCTTGTTGACAGTTGTGAGAAAATGTTGGCGCTGCCATTTAAAATAGACGAATCACATCAAAAAATAAGGAGAAAGAGAAAGAAATAGAAAAAACGGTTCATATTGTCTTCAAACAGATTCAGGCCGTTAGTTATCTATTATTCATTTGTTTATCTGAGAGAATTATATCTGTCAAGTTCTGTCAATACAAATTAGTGCGGTGTTGCCAAGTGTCCAATTAAAATCATCGAAAAAGAAATAAAAAATACCTTATTTTTGAAATATCATTTCCATGCTCTTTAAAAAGCAGTTCTGTTAATTTATTTCCGGTCACACCCAACAATTTATTTATCCCTTTTGATTGAATTTGAAGTAAAATTAAATAAAATGTACTTTGTGATGACAGTGATATTTTTATTTATACAATCTATCAAAAAAAACTAAAAAAC